CACGTGTTCAGGGGAAAACACAGGGATTACGGTCTGTGGCGTTACTAACGCATGCACACCAGGTATTCTTGGACAAACACCCAATGCAAGCTCATTAAATCAGCATTTGGTGTATCCGAGCAGGCGTTAACGACGGGCTCTAATCTCGGCAGTGACCTGCTCAAACTGTGTCACAGCCGAGCAGAGCTGAGACTCTCTCTGCAGAGCGGCTGCACGCACTGAGGAGGGGAAATGTTAGTAGTTTGGGTAGTTTGATAAGGGGGGGAAAGGAATTTTTTTTTTATAAATGTATGGGGAAAATGCGTTGGGGAAATACATCAATATATAATTTTATACGTGAAAGATTTTTTTTCCTGTAAAAAGAAGAATAAAAAAATAAATCACTTTCCAGCATTGATATTTTATAAATAGTTTTTTAGGTGCTGAGGTTGTTTCCAGAATCGTGATGTGAATCGATTTGCTGACTTTTTTGTGCCTTTCTTGCGTAAAAGCCTGTAAAACGTTGGATTTGTTTATTAGTTTATTTCAAAATCGCTCATAACAGAAAAACCCCGGATTTTCAGATTATTATTAAAATAAGCACGTGAGCGTTCTTATTAAGTGCTGTTGGTTTTCTTTGTCCAGTTTATTTCGATTTATGTGGCTGCAGAATTGATTTCAAAATTGGCTAAAAAAAGAAACAAATAAAAAATCAGATAAACTCAATAACACAAAATATACGCGGTGCCTTAAATTAAATGCAGGCTAGGGCTGATAAAGGCCAACTTTTTTTTTCCCTCTTTTGTGTCACACAGTGACCGTCTTATAATAGAATCAAATATAAAGGGCGCAGACATTTGAACTTAATTTATTTTTGAAGCACCACAAGAAAACAAATGGCAGATTATAAAAAAAATGCGTGCACTATTTAGATTAAACCAGTAAAACAAAAACAAGGCATTTTATAAAGTTCGGTTTTGATTTATGACCTCCGGTACCTCAAGAATAAACAGTTTAATGGAGCTACCTTTAATTTTAATTTTAAAACAGAATTGCCTGGTCATTTTTCTGGGGATTTATTTCGTGTTAATGTGCTTAATTAAGTTTGGCGTATTTTGTGGGCCTTCTTGCCTTTATGGCAAACCTTCCGACGGCTCGGAATTCGCTGTGGCCGCCAGGTGTCGCTAGAGGGCAGCATATTTCATACCGAGCCTGTGAGGAGGGGGGGGG